CATTAGCCTTTGTGGTCTCCGTAGCGTGGACAAGAGCATAAATACTTAAAGGCAGATAGACTAAGCACAATAATTGGACAACTCAAAGCTTAAAACTCCTTCAAAAATAAACATTAAAAATGTGAGGTTTTACAATCAGAACTTTCTTGCATTTCCTTATATGCATTGATAAGTACAGCATAAACTTTATTTAAGTAATTTTATTTATTTATTTAGACAGAGGCATCCTCCTTAGTTTCAGGTATGTTTTCTCCTTTACATTGTCATATATCATCTGTCATATAAGTTTTTAATTTGCTTAATCATTTGTTTTGGGCTTTACCTGTTCTGACTCCAGAGTAAAACAGAATTTTGTCTCTTGTTACCACCACTGCATCCTTAGTGCCTAGAAGAGTGTCTGGCACATAGTTGATTTCCAACAAATTTGCTGAATAAGTAAATAAATAAATTCTGAGTTCCTAAGTATTCCCCTAGTCAAATTATCTATAACAATAAAAGTGTAATATGCTAATTAGACCAGACATCATCGCTTCTCAGCCTTTTGGCTAAGATCAAGTGTAATTAGAACAGACAACCTTCCAGATGAAGCCAGGGCTACAAGGGAAGCCCGGGTCCCGGGTGCCAGAGGGAAGCTGGTGCCGGCAGCCGGGGGAAGGAAGGCCTACTCTTGCACAAATTTCATGCATCAGGCCTCTAGTTTCCCAAGAATCACAAATTGCTTTGAACTGAGGTTAGTTCAGAACTCCCAGGATCCCAAATGAGGAATGTGACCTGGCCTTGGTAGCACCAACATGAATGAGAAAGGTAACAAGCTGAGCAGTTTAGCAATGGAAGGAGTGAGGGTTCTTTGTAACAAGCTTCTCATCTATATGGCTGGAGCTCCTCCATGATAAGTAAGAAAAAAAACCTAGTTGTCATGGCCACACAATTCTCCCCAGTCTCAGAGCCTGTCTGGGTTTCCTCACAGACCTTATTCTGGCTCTATTCCTCTATGTTCTATGATTCAGTGCTTCTGTGGATGTTTGGGAGAGAAGAGTTCATTGAGATACTCAGAGAGGGAAAGAAGCAAAGCAGTGGGAAATACATGTCTTTAAAAACCTGAATATAGAGGAAATTTTTACTCAGCAGATGGCTTTAGTTTCCTTATTGAAACAAAATGCTTTTTATTTTAAGAACTATTTCACTAAATCCACAAGAACTAGGAGATATTTGGGTAAAAGAATTCAAGACTATATGAAATGAGAATACAGGTTCTCAGTCACCATGGCCAGTTTTGGAAAAGAGGGCTGTCTGGAGAAAGGAAGAGTAGGCTATGGACTCATGCAGGGTAATGGTAAGAGAGCAGAACAAGAGAGTTGCATTACAGAGGCTTTACCAGGATGTGAGGCAGGCTGAGGCTCAAGAAATGATTTATGATGCACTAAAACAGTCATCTCTCCCCATCCTAACCCTGCTTCAGTCAATTGAATTAACTAGAATTTACTCCTTTTCTAAGATGTAAACACCAATGGAAGGATTAAAAGCAATGAGTGGATGGATCAATCATTCACACCTTAGTGTAAATCTATTCAACCCGTCACTGCCTTGACAGAGGTTTATGTAATTTTTGGGCCATTGAGAAGCAATATTTCTGCAGGAGATAGTGATGTGGGAAAGGGTTGCAGGAAAGAGAAAGTTTGGGAAACCACAGCAAATATAAGGTGCAGGAATCTGGGGGTGGAGTCAGAAGTGGAAGGAGGTCAATAGGGATGTGAAACAAATGGCAACTGTCTCCTTTTGTTTGTGGTTTTTGTTTTATTTTGTTTTGTTTTTGAGGACCTGGCCTAGAAGGGCACTAATGACAAAGTTCCTATAATTTTAAACATTGCCTAGGACTGATCATCCTTGTCATGTCAGAAAAAAAAAGCAGCATTTGCTATCTAATGGAGAACCAATATGCAATGTGATTTAAGAGATGCTAATATTGCTTTCCCTGGGAGTTAGAAGACATGGGAACAATAACCAGGAATTCCCTGTGCTGCCACCCTGGGACCACCACCTGTTCTAGTTATTGACCAGTCAGCCACCTAGCTCCTAAAGCATCGCATTGTTATCAGATAGTCTATTTGCTCTAACATTCCTCAGGCCTCCCAGTTGTCCTAGGATATTTTATCAAATCCAAGAAGTCAGATTCAAAAGTCAGCTTTTCAAGAAACTCCAAATATATCAAAACCAAGTCAGAAAAATCAGAGAAAGTGGTATTTAGCCTTTCAGCTTGATTGCTGCAAAGTCACCCAGAGATTTTTTATTTGCAATTCTGCGTTTTTCTCCAGACAGCCTCAACAAAAGTATAGGAATTGATTTGTGATCAAATATACTTTAAAAAGTCCTTTCTTAAACAATGAAGGAAAGATAATGGAAAGAAACCTCTGGGTGCCCACAAATGAAGACACAGTTGAATAAGTTCAATCGCTAGACCAAAGTATAACTGATAGATAATCCAAATGCATTTTATTATATTTAATAAGCAATTAAAATTCAAATTGCAATTATAACTGATTGATTGTTTTTTTTAAAAAAAATGCAAAATAAAAATAAAAGTCAATTTTACATTTAGTTACACATTAAGTTTTATTGATTACGTTGCTCATATGACAAATGTTTTATTATTCCAAGTTATATTAACTATAAAATGGAAATTAAAAAAAATAAATTGAAATATGGAAAATTAAACAAAACTAAATATAGAAATTACAAAATAGGTTTACTGTTATATTTTACATCAACTTGGTTAACATATCCCATTAAATGTTTTGGTATCATCACCCTACAGTTTCATAATTTTGAGAGCCAAAGGCATAAACAAAAGTTCACATATAATTTATACTTACAAGAAACTGAAAAGAAAAAACACCAAAAAAACCACAAAAACAATATTCATACTGTGATTACTAATTTTATCTTAAAATATAACCTAACAACTGAGCTTAACCTAACTTAACCTAATTTACTCTAACTGAACCTAATGTCACATATTCTATCTATTACCTGTTTTCACAAGAAAATATAATGCATTATTATTTTTAGGACTTTAGATAATGAGGAAAAAGTAATGTGATTTTTGAGAATTCATTTTTATTACTGTTCCATTATTTTAGCATTTATTTTCTATTAGTTCCTAATCCACGAACAGCTTTAGCAGTTTTTAAAGTTATATAATTCTTAGAAATGTGTACTTAAAATCTTAATATTTTTAATTCTGTGCACAATCAGAAAGGGCAACAAAGGATAAGGAGAGATTTAAAAATTTGCTTATTTAAAAATTTTACTTTTTGGTTATTGTTTTATGGTTTTTAATATTTTAATCACGTTCTGGCACAAGTTAAGCAGCTAACGTGCCTTGTTACCGGCAGCCTTAACATTTTAAAATTGCTATATCATCCAGGTATTTTAAAAATTGATTAATGTCCATTTTAAGAATATTTATTTTTTGCGGTATTTTAAGTGTGTGTGTGTGTGTGTGTGTGTGTGTGTGTGTGTGTGTGTGTGGTTTATATCTGGGGTATTTATTTCCATTGCTCCTAGCATAAGCACAATATATCATCTATATTGTGCTCAGAAGTTTTCTTTACAAGTCTTAATATTCTTAAATTTACAGTTCATCCAATAAATGGTAGAGTTTTTAAGGGTTTTCTTATTACTTTTGCTGTTTTAGTGGGTTACAAAAAATGTTTCCTCATTTTTTTTTAAATAATGACTTTAATTGCTCCTGAACTGGGTGCCTAGCTACATTTTGATGCAAAGCATCATATTAAAGTTATAGCATTTGACAAGTTTTGCTAACGCTAAAAAAACAAAAATAAAACACAAACAAACAAAAAAAAACAAGCTCTAAATTATTCGTGCTTCTCCCCCTTTATTTGGGGTTGTTTTGTTTTTTTATTTTTTCAAATTCACTCTTCACTTTGTCACAAATTCAGAATTCTACCCAGCAGAAGAGTTTGGGCATTACTTTTGGTTATATCATACAAATTTTAAATTTAAAGATCTTCAACAAATAAATAAAACATTGATGCAAGTATTAGAAATATGTTTTGCTGTTCTTATTGTTTTATAATTTTTCTGTTTTCTTGTTTGTATTGGTTTGGTTTAGTTTATATATTTTATTCAATATGCTCCCACCCTGGGCACAAATTCAGCAGGTCTGACTACACTATGTTCCAAAATTTGGGGGGAAAAAAAGCAATTTAAAGTTACAAATCTCTCCTACCCACCCATCCCCTAAATTATTAATGCAAAATTTAAGAAAGCTTTTTGTTGGTTTTATTGTTTTATTTGTTATTATTACTTTGTTATTTTTTTCCAATTTGCTCCAACATAGGCACAAATAAAACAGCTTTCTGGCTGCACTGTGCTCCAAAATTTCATATGGAGAATATTTTATAGAAACCAGTCCCTCAAACGTAATATGAGAAATTGGAAATTCTAAGAAAAAACTATTGGTGTTAGATTTTTAATGGACATTTGTTGTTTTATATGATTTTCCATTGTATACCTATCTTGGGCACATATTTATCAGCTTTCTGGATTTGAATTTTCAAATGAAATTCTTAATGTAGTAAAAAAAAAGAATTTAAAAAAACCAACACTGTTGGTGACTGAAAATGTGTAAATCCAGTTAATTTTCTGTTTCTTCCCATCCATGCTCATGCAAACACAATTTATGTTTCTGCTTTCAAAATATATAAATAAATTTGCCAGCCCTTTTAAATTGGATACATTTTTTATTAATTATTTTAGGCTAAAATATGTTCTTGTGCCAAAATAAACTTGATGGAAATTCAAAGAAAAATAATTCAAACAAAAATATATCAGTAGTAACACAAAATGTCTGTTTTAAATAATCCCTGAATTTGTTCTATATTTATAGGCCCAAACTAATTACCAAATATTTTCAGGAGTATGTTTTTAAAAGTTTGAACGTAATACCCATATCACTAAAGTCAAATCCACTTGCCAGTTATATAATGTGATATAATAAAATTTCAACCCAGCAGAAGAGTTTGGCAATTACTTTTGGTTGTAGTAATTAGACCTGACCTATAATTATGGAACAAATCAGAATATATACAGTAAATGCTCAAATAAATGTATTTGGCTGTATTTAGTACATTAATCTATTCTCAGTATCATTAGCTTCAAATCTTTCATCTTATTCATAACAGGAAAATAATCATAGGAGAAATCATATTTGGATCTAAAGACAATTCTCGTACCTAGAAGGTGGATTCTAGCATTAACTCACCACCATTATTTGTTGTTTGATCACTGACTTCCTCTTGAATAGCTGGAAGGGAAGGCTTTGTGGTTAGAGGTATTTCAGTCTTAAACATGGACTCCATCCTGATATGGGTATTTATGTAGAAGGACTTCTGAAAGGACTCAAGGGTGAAGTAATAGATGAAAGGGTCAAAACAACAGTTAAGAGTTGCAAGGCACAAGGTGATTGGGTACATAATTTTAGCAAATCTTTCCAAAAAGCAATTGGTAATGGCTTGAGAGCGCACCAGGGCATACAGGAAGAGAACAGAATTGTAGGGTACAAAACAGACCACAAAGATTGCCATATGCACTGTGATCATCTTCAGCACTTTTTTCTTATTGGTCCCAATTTGAGACAGCGTAGCAGGCTTGCGGAGGGTTCTCAGCACCACAGAAGAGCAAGAGACATTCAATATCAGAGGAATGATGAAGCCAACAACTTCAATAAATATGGTGATCTTGGACAAATAAGTCTTCCAAACACGTTTGGAGAAGCCCTCAAAGCAGGTGGTGGTTGTATTGTTGACATTAGTGGTTGAGAACAAGGAGGCTGAAATACCACCACTGAGGACCAGGATCCAGACTCCAGCACACACAATGGCAGAATTCCTCCTGGTCCTAATGGTACGAGATCTGAAGGGATAGACAATGGCCAGGAAACGATCCACGCTAATACAGGTGAGGAAGAGCATGCTCCCGTAGATGTTGGTAAGGAATGCAGTCCCAGAGATCTTGCAGAGAGTGTCACCAAAAGGCCAGTGGCGATTGAAATTGTAAAATATTTTGAAAGGTAGAGTGCAGACAAAGAGCAAATCAGAGAGGGCCAGATTGGTGATAAAAATAGCTGTCTCACTTCTCATTTTCATGCGGAAGCAGAAGACAAACAGAGAGGCACTGTTGGTTATCAGACCCAGGATGAATACAACACTGTAGACAGCACCATTCAGATTATACTTGAAGGAATCATCAACAATACAAGTATTATTGGCAGTAGCATTGCCCAACCTGGGTCTGAGGCTTGAATTTAAAACTTGGAATTGGAAGTCAATGAATCTTCCGTCACCCATGGATTTATTTCAGGAGGCCTGCTGGCTGCAGGGTTCACCACTCTCACACTAGGGACTGGTAGAAAATGTTTTCCTCCTATGAGAGACAAGATGTTATGAATCATCAAATCTGCCTTCCATCCATTATTTCTATGGAGTAAAAGATATTCTGTCTACCGAGATTGGAAGTAACATTCGATTTGGTTTGACAAGTTCCTTTTGAGCACCTACCATATGTTCAAAAGTACTCTAAGAGTACATTGCAGGAGTGGAAGGATCATATTGAATACAATAAGTGGAGTACTGTAGCATTGCAATGAACAGGAATGAGATATTGTGGTTACATGACAGAAAGAGCTATGGGGGGGAGGGGATCTAGGAGGGGAGGAGAGACTCTGATAGTTAAAACAACACTAATACTTTGAAATTTATATGGCACTTTTTATCTTTCAAAAGCATGTTTTGCCTTAGCCAGCTTGGCTCAGTGGATAGAGCATCAGCCTGCGGACTGAAGGGTCCCACGCTTGATTCCGGCCAAGGGCACATGCCTGGGTTGCAGCTTGATCCCCAGTGGGAAGTGTGCAGGAGGCAGCCAGTCAATGATTCTCTCTCATCATTGATGTTTCAATCTCTCTCTCCTTCTCTCTTCCTCTCTGAAATCAAGAAATATATATATATGTTTTATTTGATTCCCACAAGAACACCATAAGGTACATAAGACAAGAAATTTTCACCATATCATAGAAGCAGAAACTGAGGCCTATGTAATTTAGAATTACAATGATGTCACAATTGGAAAAATGTACAAATGATATAGTCAAAACCAGAACTGAGGTTTTTTTAATTCCTAACCAAATGATTAAGCTACTCTAAATGGTATTGTCTACTCTCCAATATTGCTAAACTTCATTGTATGAGTATTAGGTCTGTTGCACAAGGTCTGTCACACAGGTGGATATGGGACCTCCAGGACATGCTCTTAAAATAGTTGAGACTAAATTCCTGAATTAAACTGTTGATTCATGTTTTTCTTCTAAAACATGAGTTCTGAGAGCAGGGATCCCTGTTAATTAAAACTTCTAGCTAAAAAATTCTTTTTTTTTTTAAATATATTTTATTGACTTCTTTACAGAGAGGAAGGGAGAGAGATAGATAGTTAGAAACATCGATGAGAGAGAAACATCGACCAGCTGCCTCCTGCACATCTCCCACTGGGGATGTGCCCGCAACCCAGGCACACGCCCTTGACCGGAATCGAACCCGGGACCTTTCGGTCCGCAGGCCGACGCTCTATCCACTGAGCCAAACCGGTTTCGGCGCTAAAAAATTCTTTACTGTATCACATTATCTTTCTAGAGAGATAATTCACATAATGATATCAGCATTTGCCTCCTGCAGATTGTAACCCCCTTTCCTAACTTCTCTCATGCTAAACCCTAAGCCTAGGACAAGCATGTCAAACTCAAAGGCTAACACGGGCCAAATAAACAAGGATTAAGTTTATGTGGGCCACACAAAAACACTGAATAACTGCACAAATTAATATGCATAACACAGATAAATCTGTTTTTTTTCTTGTTCTCCAAAAGCGAAATATTTTCTGTTGCACACACCAAACAAGTCAGTACAAGACTAATGACAAGGAAACTGGCTGCTAAAATATTCGCTGCTAGTATTAGTGGAAAGATGGTGCGCCTGCGCATAAAGCACGTAAGGCGCATAAGGGAAATGAATGCAACAGATTATAGTAATCAGTCATTAGCAAGCGTTGTAGTTCATATATATATATATGGCTAAGTGACCTGCGGACTGCCACCCGGCCAGTAGGTATGACACTCATTGACCACCAGGGGTCAGATGCTCAACGCAGGAGCTGCTGAGCAACAGCAACTTTGCAGAGTGCACTCTTGCACTCCAGGACCCCTCGGGGGATGTCAGACATTCGATTTTGGCCCATCTCTGCAGGCCAGGCTGAGGAACCCCTCCTGCTGGAGGGACCCCACTCATTCCGCAGACACCCTTCAAGCCCCAGTACCACCTCAGGTGCTGCCAGCTGGGGAGGGACCACAGGAAGTTGGCTCCAGGGAGTGTCCGGACTGTCTCACCCAGTCCAGCCCCACCAGCCACCTTCTAATTAATTTCCTTTCAATGTGCACAAATCCGTACACCAGGCCTCTAGTTATTAATAATTATGTATAACTGAATATTGTAAAAATTAAGTTATGAAATTTTTATTAAAACATTTCTTACATACTGTTATATTGACTGGGCCACAAAGATAGTCGTGGTGGGTCGGGAGTTTGACATGCTTGGCCTGCGATGTCCTCCTTCTCTCTCTCCCACTGCCCATTCCATCACTTATTTTCATGCCTTCAGCTCTTAATATGGCCCTGGTCAATAAAGCCTTTTCTGGTGAACACAAGTGAAATGTATTCTCACCTAGCTAGTTATATGCCCTCTGCCTGCCACCACTTGTACATGTGGTAGCCACTAACTTAATCATCTCTGTTGGGTAACTAGGCCAACATTGTTCAAAGGTACATACAGAAATCTTACTAACCAATTAGATTAACAGCTGCCATTGGACAAAAACTGACTTTCGAATGTTCTGTAATACACTATAGACAAGTAGATGCTGAATGTTTTCAATGAAGAGGATATGGGATAAAAGTGCTCTTTGTCCCCTGATATAGCCAGTAATGGGTTTTTACATAATTATATTTTAAAATGTGAAAGGCATTTCTTTGAAGTGATTCCTACTTATGTCACTTTTTCCTCCCAACTCCCAGGGAACAGGTCAAAGACACTTTCTATATAACAAAGAAGGGAGTGGAGGGGGAAATCTGCCAGCATTATAGAGGCCTGAAATCACCTCAGTGTTTGGCTTGAGGAAAAAAGAAATTCACTCACTACAGTGCCTATAGAGAAAGATGACCTTGAAAAATCCAGGATGCAAAGAGTTGTTATTTTCAATAGCTAAAGTTTTCAATTAATATTGGAATCTGGCTATTCCTGAATTCTTGTTTAACAAATCTTTATGAAGTGCTTCCCCTGAGCTTAACACAGCACTAAGATCATATTCCTTCTTGACCATTTTATCTCATAAGCCCAGCTCAAATTTGCTAGAGGCAACTTTGATTTATAGAAGCAGGAACCTAGGCCAAACAAGGTCCAAGATAGGAAATAAAGGCAGATGAGAAAGAAGTAAATATAGGTGGAGAGAGCAGAATAGGAGATGGGAAAGGAAGTAGCAGAGAAAAAAAAAACCAGGAGAATTGAGAGAAAGAGAAGAAAGGGTGAAATAAAAATGATGTTGCTGGGGAGAGGTCAGTGCTGTAATCTAATTTGTATCTAGGGCCTTAGGAGGTATTTCTATTTCACAATTACTCCAATCCTATCCTCTGTATCTTGCTTCATCTCAAACATTTCAATTTTATCAGGAAGAAGTATAATATGCAATAACTCTGCTTAAGGCCACTGAAACTGATTGGAAAAATATAGGAATAGACTAGAAAATAGCAGTCAATGGACTTCATACTTTACTTTGGGAGCTGTAGACCCAAGTTACTGCAGATTGTTTCACCAATGGGATGGCAGAAACAAAAAGAGAATGGTGAACGTGTCAACTGCTTAAACCACTTTACATCCTATTTTTAACACCCCAAATCACTATCCATTACTCTAAAGGTCTTTTTTAATTGTTGAAAGAAATCAAAATCTAATATAGTTGCACAATCTAAAATAAATATGGGACTGCAAATCCCAACATTAAAGTCAAGCTTCATTTGCTAGTATTTGCTTGTACCTGCCTTCTATAATAAGTAGACAATAAATTTATTTGATTTGGAAAATGTTTTCATAATAGAGGTCTTTTTACCCGCCCCCAGAGTTCCTCCAGTCTGCCCAATAGTGAGCCATTTACACAGCATGCTTCTAGCTCTCTGATTATGTATTATTTTGTACTGCCCAAAATGGTGTGTTTGAAATAGGTGAGCTCTGTCTCCCGTTTTCCATCCAGTTTTATGTCTCCCAGAACGTATGCATTATACCCACAGCATGCAGTCTGCAAATACTTAATATGTCTACTCTGCTGCTTTGAGTAACCAAATATTGTGGAGAGAAAGGACCACAAACAAGAAAGCATTTAGTCTCAATCCTGAAGAGAGGGCATGGGAAACTGCCACTAAGGCCCTATTCATAGCTTTCCCTTGTTTAAACACACAGCACCTTTGCTGTCTAGCAGTGAAGGTGTGGTGATGGGACTTAACACAGCATTGGAAGCAAGGAGTTCTATTTCCGACTCAGACACTGGTTCACTCTGTAACTTAGCTATACAGTTTCTCTTCCCTGTATAAACATACCTCTGAGCCTCACAGCTGATGTTAGGAAGATTGAACAGGGCTTATAAAGAGGTTTATGTGCTTGCCAGTATTCAGGCCTAACTAACCACAAATAAACATTATATAAGCTTTTATCTTTCTCCCTCCTCTGACACAACTGGACACCTATGACTGTATTTCTTGCTGAACTACATATTTGCAACACACCATTCTCCTAACACCACGTATACCTTATATCTCAGAGAGCCTCTCTTGAGTTTCAACCTTAACAACACAATTTTCTCATAATAGGACAATCCAGGATGGTGCTCCAAAGGAATATCTCCCACTGAGCTATGGTTTAAAAAAATCAGAGAGGTATTTGGCTCTTAAGCTGATTCTGAAGGAGAATCAACAGCATTCAAGAAACAATTTCTCTTTTTGGACTGGCTTCCTTTCTTTACACAAAAAAAAAAAAAAAAAAAAAAAAAACAGCAGTGTTTTTAACCACTAGATTTTCCTAAATGGATAACATATTGTGCACTGAATGGAGGCAAAGGGCCAACTCTTGAGCTTCAGATGAGATCAAGAAGAAAAAAAAAAAGGCTGACGCAGTTAATTACATCTTCCACTGCAAGTAGCATTAGACTATTGTCTTGTGAAGACCATTGTAGCCAATTATTCCAACAATTAATCACCTAGAGGGGTCAGAATACTGGGTGGATGCATTTTCATTGACAATGGGCAGGAAATAGGTCACCTGGAGGTTGACCAAAGAGAAATCTGACCCCCAATGAATTTTTAACTCTGACCTACACATATGGAGCCAATTCGGACAGTTCAAACTAGTGTTCACAATTTTCTTCTTTTTATAAACATTTCTAATGTTAATGAAATATACCATGTTTGGAATCTTTGGGGCTCTTGGAGGAAGTAGAGTTAGACTTTTGGCCCTATTAAAATACGTACCTAAATTATTCCACTTTACTAATGCTAAACTTTCAGATGATATGTTAAAAACAAAGCTCTAAATTCTGACATATGCCCAGTAGCCTAAAAAGGCTGGCTTGCTTTTGTTCCCTACAAAAGAGAGTCCAGAGGAAAATAAAGCCTTGAAGACAAAGTATACTCCAATTCTCTTGCTTTTTTCCCTTTTTCATGAGCTCAGGGTCAGATCAGAATGCTTCTGATCCCCAGAGCATTTCCTCTTTCTGCTCTGGTTGAAGCTTAGGAACATTGACACAATGGTTTTCAGAGGAAGCTGAAACCTATTGTGTCCTGGCCTATAAATATCTAGCAGTGAGGTAAATGAAAAAATACAAAAATGTTGCAAAAAATACAAATCAAAACCATCATGTTGGGGCATGAGAAGAGATAAACCAAAGAACTCATGTACTTATATGCATAGCTAATGGACACAGGCAATAGGGTAGTGAAGACCTGGGGGATGGGTAGGGGCTAGGAGGAGGGGAGGAAAGAGGGGGAAATGGGAGATATCTGTAATACTATCAACAATAAAAAATACATTTTAAAATGAAAAAAAAAGAAAATTAAAAACAAAACAAAACATCATGCTGGAGTAACAGGGAATATGTACATACTGCTGTTCCTCAAATGAGTGACTACTAACAGATAAGACTTCTTAACGAAATCTTCTTCGACCAGTGGTCGGCAAACTCATTAGTCAACAGAGCCAATTATCAACAGTACAACGATTAAAATTTCTTTTGAGAGCTAATTTTTTTAAACTTAAACTATATAGGTAGGTACATTGTTATTAACTTAATTAGGGTACTCCTAAGGCTTAGGAAGAGCCACACTCAAGGGGCCAAAGAGCCACATGTGGCTCGAGAGCTGCAGTTTGCCGACCACGGTTCTAGACCAAGTCAGGACAGGTCACAATCATACCCATGGTTCCAACTGATGTAACTATGCATTAGTTGATGTTTCATAATAGTTTTCAAAACATAACCCAGCCTTTTGACATATGGAGGAAACCATAAGTAGATATTTCACTCCAGAACTGAGCTGGGAAATTGATCTGTATGAGGTCTCATTTCAAACAAGCCTCCCCATGTGTGTCAATTGTTTAGATTGATATGCCTTATTTTTTTATTTTTTATTGAATTTATTGGGATTACATTGGCAATACAATCTTATAGGTTTCAAGTGTACAATTCCATAATACATAAACTGTATATTTACCATCCAAAGTCTAGTCTCCTTCCATCACCATTTATACCCCATTTACTCTCTTCTACCTGCCCCCATTCCCTTTTCTCTCTGGTAATTACCTTATTACTATCTGTGTTTATGAGGTTTTTTTTCTCTCATAGAACAGACTGACATCCTTGTTTATTTTTGATTAAAGAATCAGTTAGCAATTTGCATACCAGTTTATCTGATATTCTTGGATACTGATCCTGATAATATGAATAAAAACCATGTTGTCCATCTCTAAAGGTATATACCAGTGGCATAGAGGGCTTAAAACCAAAAAATCAATATTCACCTACACCAAAATTGCCTGGACTACAATAAACAATCACAAATCTTCATGGATTTTGATATTATATAATCTATCATAAATTGGAAGTATTGGTTACAAAAATAATTGAAGAATTATGAAGAAAGCTATTATCAGGAGATTGGTACTCACCGCATTAGTTCAAACCAAATTCTGGCACCAATTTTATCTGAGACTTGGGTGATCAAATAACTTTCTGGAGGCACTGTGGTTAGGGATTTCCTCCAATGGATGCTGTGAAATACAATTAGTCACAATAGTGTGACATCAAAAGACTTTTCAATAAAATGTATGTCAAGATCATAGGGTAAAAAAGGATTAAATGATACAAATCAAACTAAATGAGAGCCAACATATTTTAAAATGTTATCTGAATGTTGCATTTCATTATTACATAATATCAGATCACGTTTTATTTTCCAAACCTGCTACTATTGTGCCATATTTTATTGGTTGTATTGATAAGCAAAACGTCCATGAGTCTGTGTAACCTATAATTGTTTAAAGATAACTAATGGCAAAAGGCATAAAAATACTTCCTCCACTTCCCTAAGGTAATATACTGAATTAAAAATAACTGAACAGAGGAGGGTTTTTTTGGCATGAAGTTATGTTGGCTCTTTGTTCTTTCTTTTTTTTTTTCTTTTCTTTTTCCCTGGCAACAACTGTTACTATTTGGCAAGAGCCTTGATAAGGGAAGAGGAAAGAAGACTGGAACAACAGGTGGAGACCCTATTGGCATGTTTCCAACCTGCACTCCTACCCCAGTTAAATTTATTTCTCCCTGAACTATAGCGATATGAACAAGGTTTCAAGTTCTGGGCATTAGCACACTGACAATCACTGCTGCCTCTACCAGGATGGACTAGGCCTAACCAATATAGCACGTCTATAACATCTTCAAATCAAAACTCTGCACAAAATAGTTGTATAGAATCAGAAATAGTTGGCAATAAAATTCTTACAAGTAGCACCTACGTTTGAACCCTACTCATTTACTGCTTAGAAAGTAGAGGCATCTGTTAGTGCCAAACTTATACTATTGTCACATCTCACCACCTTCTAAACAAAGGTGGCCTAAACAAAGCAGACTGTTAAATAATACTCCAACTCTCTTGAAATAATTTTTTCTAATCTAAGAAGACTGAAATAAAAATAGTAAAGTCATTAGACAATTTAAAATATATTTGAGATCACCTTAATATTGAGAATTGATTTTCACACTCCTCCAGAGAGCAGTATTCCTGAAATGAAATGAATATTATTTTACTGGCTTATGAAGACAGAAACATTAATATTTCTTTTTTATACCTTTCAAATTTGATACAGATTATTTAAAAAAAATCTTTTTATTTGGAATCCAAGCAAACTTGGAATTTCAAATACCCAGAAGTTTTCATATTTGTTATTAATTCAATAAAACCACATCCAGCCCCATCACTAGCTAACTGTGTGAGGGCAAGTCACAATCCCTTTTTGGACCTCAGTTTATTTTCTTCTTCTATCTTTTGCCTTAATTGATAGCAACTTTCAACTGGTGCTATGGCATGGCCTCACTGACCCCTTTAGTCAGTTGTTTTCACCTGCTCCCATTTGTCATTGCAAAAAAAAAAAAAAATCTAATCCCTCAAAGTGTGAAGTAAGGGGAATTCATTTTTGTTAGACTTAATGAAATTATTCCTAGATTTATTTTATCTATTTTAATTGAAGTATAATTGGCATACATATTAGTCTTATCTGTACAACATAATAATTTGATATTTGTATTTATTGCAAAATGCACACCACAGTAAGTCTGTCACCATATATAGTTTAAATACCTTTAATATCAGAAATATTATTAATTAGTTCTAAGTCTTCCTAATGCCCTCGTTTTTCTCATATTCTGTTTTTATGCCCATATCAGTAGGCATATAAGCTTTAACTAAGTTTATTCCTCAACCTTTGCTACCTGTACCCTGGTCACCTAGTCAATTCTTTCCTCAAAATATAAGGTTATCAAAATACTTCAGAACATAACTAAATAAAATCAATACTTATCCTCTGTTTTGTTCTGATAAAATTACCTATCTACTAAAAACAAGGCTGGATTCCCAGTGGTAGGTGACCTCCTATTAAGCTCCCAATTTTCAGTACTAATATTCACAAATACATTATGGGTGTGTGTTTTTTCCTTCCCGGTGAAGGCCAAGAGAATATTAATACATGGTGACCTGACCGTACACACAGAAAAGAAAGGCAACTACACAATTAGGCCCTGACCACACCACAGCAAGGGCAATAACTGTCACGCATTTTCTCTCAAAGGAAATTGAATAAAGGAAGCTCTAGCTAATTTTGGCCTAGGTGTTGCTGTTAGGCATCTTCCCAGTCCTCTCTTTAACTTACAGAGAGTACACATTCTGAAAGGATGATCTGATTGTTCCAATGCTGCTTTCATTCGCATCTCTGATTGGCAGGAGATGCTAGACGCCATCAAGTATCAGCTGAACTCATCCTTTATAGCAGGAGTGTAAACTTTTCATCTGTGACAAGGAAAAAGGATTTAAAATCCTGTTGATAGGATATGTTGTGTGGAATTTTGTTCTGAAAAATAAACATGTTTCAAAGCCACTGGGTAATTTGGAGCTTCAGTTTTTATTGTCTTCATGTTAGTCAAGGAAAAAGAAAGATGGTGTCATTTAGTAAGGTAGCAAAGTGAATAACCCAAAAAAACCTCTGAAATGTTCTAAGATTTGGATTTATCTGTTTTTGTCCATGTTGGAATAATGATGAATTACATTACTATATTTCCTAAAACAAAGTAACTAAAATACAATATTTATCAGTTAAAGATCTTGTAGCTAAATTGTAAAAAATATTCAGGACATGCAAGAAGAGAATGTTAAATATCATATTATTGCTTTTGTATGAAAAACAGCAATTAATTTAACATGTAATAGTAAATTCAATTTATTCCAGAATTAGTTTTTCATTGAAATGTTTCTTTCTTCATAGTTAAGTTCATGAATTATTCAATATAGCAAATGTCACATTCTCCATACATCAATTAAGCATCAAAGCATGCTCCATATAGTTTTCCTAGAAGAAACCTCATAATAGGAGCCACATTAGCTCACAATCACTTGCAAACCAACGAAATATAAAGCTAGCCAAAAGAATTTCTAAGCTCTACTCTGTGTTTACATAAAACAACAGCCTGAAAATCCTGTATCTTTTCCACTGAAACAATATTATTGCCAAAACAAAACAATAGAAATTCTTCCTTTTTTTGTTTTTTTTTAAACCATTCGACACGACGATCTGTTCAGCACTTCAGAGTTGAAATCTAATTTCTTTCCCCAAACACTCAAAGCAATTCCACTGAAGTCTGTTACGCTGCCTCCACCCACCCCACCCCCAACCACAAACGCCCAAATCAAATCTTTCTCAAAGAGACTTACCCCAAGAAAGAATGTGCTAGATGAGAGAGTGTGCTCAAGCGGGCAGAAAATTAGCTAATAAGCATGTGAACGGGCAACTCGCACTTTAAAAGTGCATATTTTAATCCATTTTTTTTTAACAGGGAAAGGTTAGCCCAGCCCAAAGTAGCAGACTCTGGGCTGCCACAGCTTCTTACAGCGAACCGCTCATTCTGAAAATGTGAGCTTATTTACATCTATCTCCTTCCCTTTGTTAAGAAATGGCCCTCTTGAATGCAGTAGCCGGCATGCCTTTAACAAACAGGACACAAGAAAAGGCCCAAACTCCCGGCTGAAGCTGAGGGCCGGGGGAACTTCTGGGGGTCTCAATAGGAAATGCTTTTCATTGGATAAGGAGGCACTATTGGGAGCCGAGACCCCGCCCAATCTCCTGTGCTCCCTCATTCCCTTAGTCACCAATCCCTGGACTGAAGTTTTTCCTTAAAGAGCATTGCCCAGGAAAAGTAGTTTTCACAGTCAAGAATTAGCAGCTTAAGTGCTGCTTGGCAATATAAAAAGCGTCTCTCCTAACCAGTTAATCCACAGAGAAAGCTTGTGTGCCTGTCTTTGCTGCAAGACTGCTACCCCTCCACAATTCTAATGAGGAGGAGGAGGAGACAAACCGCCAAACTTGGAGGAGAGAATTATGAGCAGCCCTTGTTTATTCTAATTTGTTTAAATAATTACAACAATATGGATAATAATTCGGGTTCAGGGGAAGGCAAAAGTGAATGCTACCACAAATACATTCCTATTATACTCTGTAGAGTTAAACCTCACACTACCACAGAAAAATACAATTCAATATATATTCACTTAAGCCAGTGAAGTGCCCTGAGATGGAGATGGGAAAAGGGAGGATCCCAGAGCTCTAATAACCCATCCTCCATGAACTAGGGAGTACTCGGTGGGAAAAGGAAGGTCTGTATTTCTCTTAAACAACTGCCTGGCAGGAAGTCTAATTACCATTAAATTTTTGAAAGTTTTACTCAAAACCAAAATAAATAGTACAGATGCAATTTGTTTATAATGGGGAGAGATGGAGATGGGAAAAGGGAGGATCCCAGAGCTCTAATAACCCATCCTCCATGAACTAGGGAGTACTCGGTGGGAAAAGGAAGGTCTGTATTTCTCTTAAACAACTGCCTGGCAGGAAGTCTAATTACCATTAAATTTTTGAAAGTTTTACTCAAAACCAAAATAAATAGTACAGATGCAATTTGTTTATAATGGGGAGCCATCTTCAAATGTATACCCCCCCCCCCCCCGGTAAGTTATTTTTCTATAGCTTGACTTCCTTTGGTCACCCACATTGCTTTTCCCCCCCTTCCTATTTTTTCCTCATTCCCTCTCTTTCTCTGACATGAATTTGTCGCAGAAATGCACTCATCCATCCGTAACTTTATTGTTTGCCTTTCCCCTCTGCCAGCCCCTCCCCCAGTCCTCTCTCCCTTACCCTCCACTCACTGCCAACACTGCCACCAACAATAACCCCTCTCCCTTCTCTATAATGAAATTCTTAGACCAGGGAGAAGGTGTTTTCTCCAGTCATGCTCCTGGAGAATTGGGGAATCCTCTGCCTGCTTCAGGACTTAAGTCTGCGTAATTAAGCTGCCTCCCAAATAAAACATGCTTCAAGTTTCTGTATTCTCCCTCATTCTTCAGCTCTATTGTGGCTGTTCTCACTACCAGTCAAGGCCAGTAAACACGTGAGTGTGAAGCTAATACTAGCCTTATTACTTGTCACTGACTCTGAAAAGTACTTCTCTGTTGTCTCTCCACCCCCACCTCTAGTGTCTGTTCTTTCTGTCACCTCTCCACTTACCTCAGGTATGTCTATATCTGTCAGTTGCTGATATAGACTGTATCTCCACAAAGTGGTCATTTACCCACTCTGGGCTACGACTAGTTCTGAGTGCATTTATCAATCTTCAAGAAAAAGATAATAGTCACTGCCCTGTAGTGCCTCACATTCTAGCTGTAAACATAAGACATGTGAAAGTGTGAGATACCAAAAGCAAATTAAAAAAAATACTAAATGAGTTATATGGAGAATAAGTTTTGTAAGTGATCAGAGGATGGAGATAAAGTCCCAAGGACAGGGGAGGGCTTCCCAGAGTAAGTGGTATTTGAGCAGGACTTTGATGGTGATAATTATTTAAATAAGCCAAGAAAAGAAGAGGAAATCTTTCCAGGTGGTCAGATCCAAGTGACCAAATGCAAGAGGTGTGAAGTGAGACAAGGTGAGAAGGAAACTGGCTTGTGGGGAAAAAAAAAAAAGGTAAAGAGAAGAGCTTTGGAGGGGGTGGGGGAGTGCTCAATTGTTGCAACTCAATCAATGCATTATAGTGATTAAAGTCAACCTAAATATAATCATGGTCACTATCTGTCTATATGACAGACCAGCTCACTATAATTCTCCTTTTTGGGTTAATATCTCTCAGTCTTCCAATTCATCTCCCTTAATTTGTCCCTAAGGAACTTAACTACTTTTCTGATTAATCTCATAAATGACTCCCAGGTCTTTTACCATATCACTGGGTACCATGCCCTTTTCGCTTCACTCTTTCTTTATCTGAGCTCTAGACTCACCCACTTTCATATTCCTAAAATGAAATATGATCCCTCACATTCTAGACATTTTCACAAGCTATCCCCCCTGCCTGGAGAACTCTTCCCTTCCTTAGCCGCCACTTCACCAAGTTAATTCTTACTCTTCCTTCAGAAATTATACCAGTAATCATGCTTCAGGGAATCCCCCCTTAACCCCTACTTTAGGTCATAGCCATTTATTATATGTTCATACAGCATCATGGACCTTTCCTTCAATGCATTTATCATGAGTATAATTTTATATGCTGTTGTGTAATTTTTCATTTGTGTGAAAATTTGATTGTCAGCCTCTCTGAACTGTAGTCCTAAGGGGATAGGGTCCATATCTGCTTAATACAAAATTAATATTGGTAGTGTTCACAAAACCTCTTCTCCCTAATTTTCTCTCTTGTCTAAGCAAAGTAGCAGTGTCCTTTTTCTAAAATTATCAACTGAAAATATGTGCCATTTCATCCATTTACAAACAAGTCCACATCAAGTTGTTTTTTAGAACAAAGAGTACATATAAATAAAGAAAAAAAGTCCCATGAACAAAAAAGTACTGAATCTTATTCATTGCCATTCCCTTTTGCCCTCACCTCACTCCTTGCTACAAACATCCTAGTTTTGCCTGTTCTAATATTTTTAAGGTGGAAGGGAGAAAATTAAAAATTTTCCAGGGTGTTATCCAAGCTGCCAGTTAATAGCTACAAAGTGTAACCCAAAAAGTCCTATAAAAATAGCCTTCATTAAGTTTCTGATGTCTTTCCTACTGAGGGAAAAATGAATATGCAGCTGAAAAAGTGCATTCAGAAATACCTGGGGGAGTAAGCATTTCAAAAAGAGAGCAACTGAAATATGACTAACTTCCTACAGGGAATTTACATACTTGAATAAGAATAGTCAGAGGCTTCAGACTTTCACACTCCAAACCCAAATCAATTTTTCTTTCTACCAGCCATAACAAAAGACTGGGTGAATTTACCCCAAGTACCAGAGACTCATCACTATGCTAGTTTCCTTAGAAACAGTACAAATGTAACTATGCTTATGGCTTAGGGTAAGGCTAAGAGTTTTGGTAACACTCATATTGTCTAAATGAACTCAGTGCCTATATAAACCTGAGCAGTGATCTAGGAAAGGAAGTAATCTAATTACTAATTTTGCATTAATTATCAAATGCATTGAGGCCTTTCACAAAACAAAGAAAGGTGAGAACCTGAGTTCTACAGTCTTTCTTTTTTTAATACAGTCTTCTGCTCCAATAGGGAAAAGATCATTAGTTCAGGTTCCAAGGCACTTTATAATACTGGACACTACATCGCTGAAAAGGTAAAAAACATTTTTTAAGCACAGACACTGGAAAATTTTTAGCACATACTTCACTCTGGAGCACCATTACCTGTTACTTGTTTCTCTAGCAACTGAAATTTTCTTCTCACTAACTAAACAAGTTTAGATAATA